TTTGCCAGTATGTGAAAATTAAAAGGGCTGTTGGTGGTTACGCCTCCCAAACATCACATAAATATTGCTATCATTTATTTCTAGCTCCAGGAGGAAGAAACTTAGATGAAGAAAGGTGTTTATGAAACACTTAGTGAGGAGTAAAAAGCTAGAACCCCTCACACGAGAGACGTGGCTTTTTTTTTCCTGCTGCAGAACTTCCCCAAAGCACCCGGGGTCCTGATGCCACGGATCCGCTCCCCCCACCACCCCCAGCCAGGGAAGTATCTCTTTCACTACCTGGGAAGAAACATCCTGAAATTTCCTGTCCAACTGGACTCCCCCCAGACATCTGGATAGCAGAAGCAATACATTCCACCAAAAAAAAAAAAAGAACCCAGCCAAGTGCTAACTGAACTTCTTCATGTGTTCCAGGACTTTCCCCAAGCTCCTTCACATTTCAAAATGAGTCAGCAGATCCCAAACCCATTCTCCTCACTTGACCACTAGAAAACTGCTGAAAGTGAATCATCTACTTACTGAGACTGGGATGGAGAATAGAATATTCAATATGACTAGAAGTTGGGAGGAAAATCAAAACATTTTCTTTCATCCTTATTTTTGCAGCAGCTACTGCTAAAAAGCAACAAAAAGACTATCCATTATGCTGCACAAGTACTCATTTTTAATATGCTACAATCCAAAACATTCAGAGGTATTTCTCAAGGAGAAAATTCTGCAGGAAAGGGCATTTTGATGGAAACGAAGAAGAAAAAAAAAAATCCGTTTTCCCTAGGGGGAAATGTTTTATTTGCAGTGAACACAAAACAGTGATGATATAGGACATTCTCAGGATTTTCTCTTATGAAATAACATTCTTTGAGCAGCTTAACAAAGGAACTTGGGATAAAGGGGAACATGGGTGGCCTATCAACAAATTAAGCTAATACTGCATTTAATTTTCTGAGAAAAAAAGAATTCTAACCAAATCCATTTTGTTATAATCAGTGATTTACATTTTTTAAGTTTTTAAAAATATTTTATACATAGTTTTTTTTTTAACTCTCTGTTTTAAAGGAGGGACTGGGGATTGAACTCAGGACCTACGTGCATGCTAAGCATGCGCTCAACCACTGAGCTACAACCTTTCCCACCCAGTGATTTCTGTTTCTGATGCAAAGTCTACGGCAATTTTTTTTAAAGTCTAGAAAGGTAAAATAAGAATTGGGATTCAGCAAATGTTGAGTTCTGAGCAATGTCCTGAGAATGTGCATTTTTCTTTTCTACCCAATACTGAGTTGTACTCACCCTGGTATGGGAACTGGCATTCCTCGAGGAATTTATGACAAATATTATTACGAGCCAATGATTCAGCAGGCAGTGGGGATACAGCCCTAAACAAGAGAGATGTGGTCCATGCCCTCAAGGCGCTCACAGCAGAGCAGATGAGGTGAATACAAAGCACACACTGGATGTCAACCTGTCCCAGGAATCTGTGAAATGAGTTTCGACATTAAATAACCACTCCCAGCCTTTCTAACCAAATGCCAGTTCACGACAAGTGCTCAACTCAGAGATAACTAAACAAGGCGTAGTTCTATCTCAGTCCTCTGTTTGGACTTCAGCTGACATGTTTGATGGCTCATCTAAGAACCCATAACAGGATTTTTACTCTGGTTCTGTCATTTACATGTACTGGACTGGTAACCTCTTTTTAAAATCAAAATCCTGAATTGTGATGTTCGCACCCAGACCATTGTTTATTTTTGTCACCTCTAAATGGGTTATTCTATTAAATGAATAGGTATTCAAAAAACATTGCTTCATAATAGACTTTATATTGTTTCCCATAAATTTGATTTTCTTTTTTGGGGGGGGGGAGAGTAATTAGGTTTATTTGGGGTTTATTTATTTTTTTTGGAGGTACTGGGGATTGAACCCAGGACTCTGTGCATGCTAAGCATGCGCTCTACCACTGACCTACACCCTCCCCTCTTCCCATAAATTTGAATTAATTAATCTAATAAAGACTTTAAAATTTGCAAAGAGACCTTCTATTTTACACATTTTTAATTCTATTTTACAATATGTAATTATAGCTATCAAGTGCTGAATACCTACTATGAACTAAGTGAAGTTTTTTTTAACATAACTACTTGTCAACCCTGCCCTCCCCTACAGCCCTACTCGGTACTACTGGTCCCATTTTCCAGATGAGAAACTGAGATGCTGAGGAGTTGAGTTTCCCAGCACCACACAGCTAGTTAGTGTAAAGCCAGGATGGAACCTCGGATTGTCTGACTGGTTACGTTACTATCTTCAGGGCCCTACGCTGAGCAGAGTTCTCATCCCCTGGGCCACATACAGAATTATTCGTTGTGCAGCATTATAATGCTGTTAAAATAATGCAGGGAGAGCTTTCAAGCAACCAGGGTCCAAAAATACATCTCGGGTGCAATAACACATCGGATTCACTAGTGAAATGAAATGTGAAATAACTTCTCAGGTAAATGGCGAGTAAATGGAGGGTGTCTCATCTGTGAAGTCTTTGCTAAGATGAGTAAACCACACCAGCCTGGCTACCAGTAACCTCCTGGCTGTGTGAATCTCTCCCGAAAAGAGAGAAAGTCATCTCCCATCAAGTGGGGGCTGTCTTGGAAACTCAGAAACGCTGGGTCAGGGAGAGCTTGTGTTTCTCGTTTTGTTCTATTCTCCAGCCCAAACAGCCCTACAGCAGTTCCGCCCAATCACGGCAGCCAGGTCACCTGTTCATGGAGGGATGGTCTGCGTTTGGAGAGTAAAGCCAGAAAAGATCACCACCACCGCCACTTGGCAAAAATCATCAGCTGTCCCCAGTAAAACATGGAGGGCTCTCTGGGTGAACAGGAGCCTAAAGTGAAATAAATGCATACGGATCAAATTGCTCTGCACTAACTCTCTAAAAGCTCCTGAGCCTCGTTGGATACGCAACCACAGCCAGCTGACGGCACCCAGAAAGCTTCTATCGGTGCCTTACAGATGCCAAAGGACCCTGAGATCCACCCCCGAGGCTAATTTCCTAAGACCTGACCACTTTCAGGGGCTGTCTTTCCCACTTTCTGGTACTGCACAAGAAACCTGCTAAAACCGTTTGCTGGGCACTCATGTTGGGGAGTCGCTTAAAAAGAAACGCGGCCCTTTCGGCTTGAGGGCATCGCCATTCAACGCCCTACTGGTTTCCTAACACGCATATGATTAATATTGTTACTCAGGAAAGAACTTCTTCTGACCTTGAGCGTGCGCGCTAAGTAAATTACCTCAGAACGATAGTGGTGAGATCTCAGAACAGCATCTGGGGAGAAAAAAAGAAGAACGAGACTTCATTTAACTCCTTGTTCATCACCTGCCGAGTCACCGATGACTCACCTAGGGGACAAGGGTCAGGAAGGGGCGTTCTAGACGCCTCGAAGGCAGTGGGGACACCCTGCCGGGCGGGGTGGTTACTAGGCCAGCGGTCTCTAGGTAATTCCTCCACGAGAAGTTTCAGGGAAAGTTCTAGGGGAGTTGGGGAGCCCCGGATCTCTATGCTTCACTTTCGGACCCCACGCTCCAGCCCTGGGTGGGTGGAGGGAGACTGCCGCAGCCCGGACTCGGCTCCGATCCCCAGCAGGGCTTAAGCAAACTGACTCTAAGCATCTGCGTCCGTTTCTCCCCACCCGGCGCCCTACTCGTCGCGGCTACCCCAACCCCGGAGACGGAGGAGGGGGAGAGGGACGTCAGACACACAAACGCACTCGGCTGGGGGAGCGCGCGGGGATGGGGTCTGGGCGGCAGCGCGGAAAGGAGCCAGCCGCGCTTCCCTCTCCAAATCGGCTTAAAGCTTCCTCCCGGCCCGAGGAAGCCCGTCGCGGCGTGTCTTACCTCGGCTTCTTGAACGACCCGAAAAGACCGATTTCATCGGATGCCTCCCCTTCTGGAGCCTGCGGTGCCAGCAGCAGAAAAAGATGATGGTGGCGATGGTGCCCACCAGAAGCAACAAGAGGAAGAGGGCACATTGTATACTGTAGGGTCTCAGCAAGACGAGGAAAGCGGCGGCGATCATGGTGCGGGCGAGGCGGGGGCGGCTGGCGGCGGGGCTGGAGGGCGGCGGCAC